TCCAGGCGAGCAGAGGCGGCCACCAGCGCACTGCTCCTTTCTTGAAATCCGTTTCCGCGCGCGAGGACTCGCTAAAAATAACCGCTAGAAAAAGTAGCACATAAAAGGGGACAGATAATTGAGGCGTTAATGGTGGGCGGGGCGGGGCGGGGCGGGGCGGAGCGGCCTCAAAGGGCCGAGTGCGCGGTGGGCCCACCCAGGTGCCCTCCTGCTGCTTATCTGGGCAGCATCCTGGACCAAAGGGACTCCAAAGGACTCGGCCCTTCTTGGAGCAACCATGTAGAATTCACTTTTTTAAACACACGGCTTGGCGTGGCGCGGCGTGCCGCCTCTCTGCTCCGCTGTGACGCGGACCCCGCGGCGGGTTAGCGGCGGCCACCAAAGAGGAGGCGTCGGAGCGGCGGACACTTATGTCTTTCGCGCTCATGAGAATTTGAAAAGGAGTTTCAGTTTCCGCCAGGGGAGTCCAGAAAAAGGAAGAAGGGAAATATAAGCAAAGGCGGTCGTCGTATACGCGAGCGACTAAAGGGATGAAATGTGTCACATCTCACGATTTTTCACGATTTTTGGTTTGGAAAACCTTTGAATGGATCAAATGTTTGTTAGTGAGGACAGGCAAGGCAATTTAGTGGCAGAATTTAATCAATCTCCTGAACTGTATTTTGAAAAAAAAAACGTAGAAATACAAAAAAGTGTTTAAAAAACTATTCAAAAAACAAAGCCTCTCAAACTTACTCTTTCATCGGTTCACCTTGTCGTCTTTTATCCTTTTTTAAATTCTGACAATGACTTCGAAGAAATCACACCCTCGCCACTGGTAACCCCCCCCCACACACACACACACACCGACGCGAGAATCTTTGCCTTTTTCCGCGGCGTCCCTTTAGTTATGAAAAAGTCCCTGAATGCCGTCTTCCCTTGGCGGTCGCGTGGCGAAGGGGCGCCCTTCTCTTAGGGAAAACCATACAAAGTTGGCATTAAATGGGAGCACACACACAGAGGGAGAGGGGGAGGGAGAGGGAGAGAGAGAGGGAGAGAGAGAGAGAGAGAGAAAGAGAGAGAGAGAAAGAGAGAGAGAGAGAGAGAGAGAGAGAGAGAGAGAGAGAAAGGAAGGCAAAGACGAAGAAAAAGTATTAAAAAATGGCATAAAACACACACAGCCTCGGACCGCAGACGCCGCCGCACAACTTCACAGAAGCCCGCGCGACTTTTGAAGTCTTTACATATGGCCGGGGGGTACTCAGCTCAATCACTGGGCTGGGCGCACCGCAGTGACGGGGGGAGAGAGAGAGAGAGATGGGGGATGGTCAAAGCCGAGGCGCCACAGATGAAGGTAAGAGACACTCCGCTCGTCACAGGCGAGCACAGGCGCTCAGGGAACCATGGTCATCTTTTCCGGTCTGATTTCATGCTTTGCGCGACACAGCCCCCCCCCCTCCCCCTTCTCTCTCTCTCCACTGCCCCTCACCGGCGCGGCCAACCCGCTCTCGCCTCGCTGCGTCGGGGGCGGCGAGGCCTCCCGGGACTCTTTAGCAGATAATATTTTAATGAAATATCTTTTGAGCGGGCGAGCTGTCGGCTGCTCTTTGCTTTAATGATGAACTGTAAACAAATGCTGCTTTGGTCACGTCTCCACTCCAGTCCGGGCAGCAGAGCCAAGCGGAGCCAAGCCCGGCAGAGTGACCGAACCACCCCTCTCAGTCCTCTCTCTCTCTCTCTCTCTCTCTCTCTCTCTCTCTCTCTCTCTCTCTGTCGGCTAATCTGATTGGCAGTCACCGACGAGATGGACCCAAACGTCCTTTTTAATATTGCCATTCGGTCATTACTGACTCTCCTCCCCTTGTCCTGGTCCCGCCCCTGCAGGCCCTGCCCGCCCTGCCCGCCCCGTCCACCGCGGCACGGCCGGCATGGCCCGCGGCCCCGGCGTGGCTGGCACGGCCGGCCGACTCGAGTCACCATTCAAAGACGGAACCGCAAAAAGCGCGGATGTCCACAAGGTAGTCCCGCTCCTCTTCATCAATTTTTTTTTAAATCTTTTTCGTCGCTACTTCAAATTTTGTTGTGTGTGTCTTTAGAATCGCACAGGAAATGGAATGAGAATGTCCGTCCCCCGGGACGGCGTCTTAATTAGCAGAGTAGTCGCGTTTTCGTGGTTTCGCCATCGAAACTGTAGAAAACGATTTCTTTAGATTAATTGAATATTTTGATTAATTTAATAAATCCACTGTGTCATAAATTTTCGGCATCGATTCACACGAAATTTTGGTGAACAGGTTGACGTTTGTCCGGTTCAATAAAAACGTCGAAGCGTCCCACGCTTGGTCTAGCGGCTCTGGCCGACGAGCGGGCTGCGACTCTGCGACCAGGGAATCGCTCTCGCGTCTCCCACGCGCGGCGCGGCGCGACGCAGCGCGCAGCCCGACAAAAACCAGAATGTGTCACCTGTCAGAAACTCGCTTACAAGCAGACCAGTTAAGACCGTTTCCGAAGGGCGGCACAAACGAGCGGCGAGGACGCGAAGAAGAGCCCCGATCAGCCATCGCGCGCCAAACTTTGGCTCGTCAACTTTCTCAACTTTTGCATGAGTCGCAGACGATTCCCATCATCAATTTTGTCATTTCCTCCGGGCGGAATAGAATAAAACCGGTCAAAATAAAAAAGGAGGAAATATGTATACGGCACAGCGTGCGGGGGAGAGAAAAAATACAACATGTCCACGAGCCGAGCCCTGCCGAGCCGAAATCGTCAGAAGGGAAATAACATGAGCAAAGCCCACTCTCTCACAAAACCGGAGAGATTACCAGGAATTTTTCCGTCTCTTCTCACAACTTTGCGGGCCATCGGGGATTGGGGAGGCCAAAGGCAGCCAACGGCGGCCGAAGGCATTTCCATTTAAAAGAAGAGATGTGCTTCGAACGCGTCGTAATCGTGTAGTTGGGGGAGATTCGGGAATTCGGGGAGACAGCCATCAATCCGCGAGGGGGCGGGGCGGGGCGGCACGACACGTGGGGCGCCTGAGGTGTCCCAAGGAGGCACACTGTTAAATATGGGGTTTTCTTAATTCAGTTGTTCATATAACGATACAAACTCGGCTCGCAGTGACACTACCATGATATTCCGGTTAAATTCCTCGTAAGCCTTTTAAGTCCAACTGACTAATGTCCCTCTGAGCTAAGTTAAGCCAACTGAAAATGTACCGTACAAATATTCATTAAAAATAAAATTTTGTAAAAAAAACGAGTTAATCGGATTATTTTTTCTTCAGAATGTAGCGACCTTATATTTCAGGTAGCGTGAAAACGCTTTTGTATTTTAAAAAAGTGCTGCTGCTCCGTCAGGATTTTTTAAAAATATTTTTTTTTGTTCCTCCTAAGTTGGCGATAATGAAAGAAACAAACTTGCTCGCGTTTCATTATGACCCGACAATACTGTTGGCGAGGCGGGACTCCGGGGGCCTCGGGGTCTCGGGGGTCTCGACCCAGAGGAGAGGGAAGGAAGCCCCAGTCGAAGGCCCAAGATGTTTAATTAGTGTTCCGCGACTATTACTCTCATAGACAATTACGCCTCCGCTGCCCATTCACGCTGCCAAATTCAATACCTGCCGAGCCATTCCGAAGATTGTCTCTTTCTCTGTCGGACCCCTACGGTGTGCCCCCGTAAGCGCGACAGAGACGGGGAGCGGCGGCGCGGAAGCAGCCCCGCTGGGGGCACGACACAGACAATGTCATAATGCCCCGCTGAATGACGCCCCGACTCAAAGGCGACCCTGGACAGGACTTTGAATTCGGCAAAGGGAAGGACTACAAGGCGACAAGGCGGCCTTAACGCAGTCAAGAAAGAACGCCCCGGGGGAAGCAAAGCGAAGCGAAGCAGAGCGACGGCGGGGGCGGAGCTCCCCAGCGAGCGGTATTAGGCTAGCGCCCATTCGGCAGAGGTAACCAGAATCAAAAAGTTGGGGACAAATGGCGAGTTAGCGAGAATCATAAAGTTGCGTATACTTTGTTGTTGTTATGACGATGCTGCATGGCTGAAGAGCGGAGTACAAAGGACGTTATTTTGCAATCGTCTCTGATATTCTGGTCAACATTCAAAAATGCTGGTGTTGTTGTTGTGATGCTGTTGTTGTTGATGGACCGGAAGTGGGCCAGGCAGGGGGCGCGCGAAGACGAGGACTCTGCCCGCAGTGCCGCGCAGTGCTCGGCGTGGGGGAGGTAATCGCATTGGCAAACTTGCGTGCCTGCTTGCGTCGCTTGCGCCGCTTGCATGCCCACTCCTCCATACGCGTTAATGACTGGCAGTTAGGCTGACAAGTGATTGAATAGCGAGAAGGGGAAGCCAGGCGAGGCAAGCGGGCCTTCGTTTTGGCGGCGGCCCTCCTGCCTGACGGCCTCCGCGACGACGGCGACGGCACGGCGGCGGCGGCGTTCGCGTCAACAAGACAAATCGATAAAAGTTTGTGGCCGGGATGCCGCTGTGTCGTTTCCCCGCGTTTCCTACGAGCGACACGCTCGTTTTTTGGGTCGCATAATGCCCTGAAAACGAAAACGACCCTCGCGTTGTCCTCTTTTCTCTCCCTCTCGCTTTCCTCCTTTCTTCCCGCACTGTTACCCACATGTTTTTAAAAAAATGTATTTGTAGAAAGTTTAAAAATTTAGAAAGTTTAAAAAGTTTTAAAAATTTAAAAAGTTTAGAAAATTTTAAAAATTAAGAAAGTTTAGAAAATTTTAAAAATTTGGAAAGTTAAGAAAAATTTAAAAATTTACAAAGTTAAGAAAATTGTAAAAAGTTAGAAAGTTTAGAAACTTTTAAAAATTTAGACAGTTTAAATTTTATAATGAAAATTTGAACTTTGTTAACGAAAGCTGATTTTTTTTCTTTGCTTTTTTTGCTTTTTTATCCAGCCGGAGTCGGAACAATGCATCCATCCTACAAGGACGGACGAGTGGTTTCCGTGGCTTCCGCTTAAGGACCGCGGTGGCAGTGGTGGGTCGACTACTCACATTCTGGGCCTCGGTCTGCGGTCGCACTGCTGTCATATCTGCAACAAACGGACAAAGTTTCTCTGTAAGTTTGGCGGGCTTCATCATTATGCCGAGGCGGGAATGTGAAAAAAAAAATCAAAACAGAACCGCGGAGGGAAAATAGAGAAGAAAGAAAGGAAAAGAAACGACAAAAGAAATTGATAATTATTTTTCCTCGGCCATCGAGACTTGCGAGATGGCGGAGATGGTGGAGCGGGCACCCCGATACGGGACAATTAGCTCTCGGCAGCCACCAGGCAGCACCCAGGCAAGGCAGCCACACGCCGACGTGCATGTAGGACGCATCACCCGGCCGAGCCGAGCCAAGCCGAGCCGAGCCCGAGAGTCCGGCCGAACTGGGCAGTGGCGAGCAGGCCAGCCGGGGCAGACGTTAGGCCAAAAGTTTGAGCTGGCACTCAGGTAATAGACAAGTCCATTCTGGGACGAGGATAATTTGCCGGTGCCGTTAGAGAGAGAGCATGTGAGCACACGGGCGCAGCCGCGGAGCCGCGGAGCCCAGGCCAGTGGGATGGCTCCAATCCAACGCGGTCCACACCGCGCTCTTTTTCTAGCTTTCTGCTTTTCCGTTTTGTTGTTGTTGTTGTTGTTCCGGCCGTCTAGACCCGAAGACTCGTCGAGTTGCTGAACTAATTTGACTGAGACTCTCGAGGAGACACTGGTAGTGACTTGCCGTGGGACTTCCCGGTAGCGGTAGCCTGGCGGGGCCTGGCGGGGCGGGCCGCGTTTGGGGGTAGTGGCAGAGAGCTCCACAAGGGCGTAGGGCCGGGTGGGGCCCCGTAGGGCGTGCACAGTGGACGAGGCGGCCCTTCTGCAAGGCGGCGGACAGCTGGATAGAGCCTTGGAGAAGCCTTGGCGGAGCCTTGGCCTGCCGTATTGTGCATTGTGTATTGTTTCTATTTGTATCGGATTCCTGCCGGCTTCAGCTAATTTGTGGTCGGCGGCCGCCCCGCCCCGCCCTGCCACTCGGCCGCGCAAACTATTTCAGTGTCCGATCGCGCTGAAAGGCTTCGATAAAGCCCAAAGGCCGAGCCAGCCAAAGGACCACGGTGGGACAGTGTGCGAAGCGTGCGAATAGCATCGCGCCGCGCGTTCAGATTCCCGCGCACCAAAAGGTCGCGGGTTCGCGCCCCGTCGACGCCGAGTCCTTTTCACCGGTCCTTCTCTCTCTCTCTCTCTCTCTCTCTCTCTCTCTCTCTCTCTCTCTCTCTCTCTCTCTCTCTCTGCGCAGAGACAATGCCCGGCACCTTGGGCCGGACGGCCGGACGCCGCGCCGGCCGGACCGCTGCGGCCGCCGAGGCCGGTGAGGCTGATCTGCAAGCCAAGCTCTAATGCGCCCAGTTGTCTTTCCAACATGCAGACAGTTCGGTTCCCCTTCACACTCTCGTCCCCATCCCCGTCCCTCATTCCACGATGCGTGCGTGTGTGTGTGTGTGTGCACTCACAAAACGCGCGCGTTAAGGCTCGCGAGATCCTCGCTCTGCCTCCTTCCCCCTCCTCTTCTTCTCCGGTCCTCACCTTCACTCCCCCCCTCCCCCCTCCCGGATCGGTCGCCCCTCACGGTAAGTAGCTTGACCACTTTGGCCAAGGCCGCTACGCGTTCTGAGGCCGAGCCATCTTCATCATATTAATCGTCCCAACCTCTCTCTTCGTCTCTCTCTCCTCGCCTCTCTCTTTCTCTCCCTCTCTTCTCCGTCCCTCTCCGCCGGCATGCCCATTCCCTTGGACGTGCATTCCTGCGTCCTTACGCACCGTGCAACAGTCACAGGCCCCTTTCCACATTAATTAACTTTTACAGCAAAGGACCCAGCGCTGTAACATATGTAAAGTGAGTGGACAATCACACGCACGCACACACACGCAGACTCGCAGGTTTGCACTTGCAATTTCTCATAAATTATCAGACGTGCGCGCGCGCGAGCATTTTGCTATGCAGGTTTGGTTTTCTTGTATGACTGCGCGGCGCGGAAAATAAAATACTTGCATACGTGCGAAAACCTGCTGCTGTCCAGACGTGCCTATCGGGCCGCGGTCCTGCCGGAGTGTGTGACCGCGGCGGCGGCGCAGGAAAAAATGGCAAACAAATGAACCCGCATATATTTCGCGGGCACGTTTTCGTTGTTTTTCACTTTGTCACCCTCAATGTAACAACAGGTCCCACAGTTGTTTATTCATTTTTTGTCGAAAATATTTTTTTCTCAATTTTTCGTTTTTTCGCATCTGTCAAGCCGTACACACGCGACGCGGCGGCGCGCCGGTTCGCGCTTGACCGCCGCCTTTGCTTGACCGACTAGAAGAAAAATCCCGTTGGAGCGGCGAGGCTCGGACGGCAGCGCCATGGCAGCGCGGCGCCATCTACTGGCGGTGACGGGCACTGCCATCGGGGCACTGCCATCGGGGCACTGCCATCGGGGCACTGCCATCGGGGCACTGCCATCGGGGCACTGCCATCGGGGCACTGCCATCGGGGCACTGCCATCGGGGCACTGCCATCGGGGCACTGCCATCGGGGCACTGCCATCGGGGCACTGCCATCGGGGCACTGCCATCGGGGCACTGCCATCGGGGCACTGCCTTCCCATGAGGGCTTCAGGACATGAAGACGCCGTCCACTTGCCATGGCTTGCCGGACACAGTCCAAATAAGCAGACCGGCCACACTGTCGAAACCTTTGCTGAGACAGTTGATGAAAATGTCAAGGCTGATTTGCCTTATTTCCTTTCATCAAACCAAGCTTCGATGAAAATTTCATCATTTCCAGCAAAAATGATTGCATCTGCGGATTGACCATTTTGCTGCATATTTCAGTTCAATTCTAATAGTCTTTGCTTAAGTACAGTCGTTTCCCAAAAAATTAGATTGATTTTTTTTTTCAGCGCGAACCGGTGCTTGGTCCATCCGCAGATGGCACACCTGTGCTTGGAGTCCTGGAGTCCAGGCCCTGGACAGCTGGTGCAGCGGGTTATGGCCGGCCGTGCGTCTGGACTGGCAGCTTTTGTTGGGGATCGCCGCCAGCCGAAGACCGGGCGGGGAGTGGGGAGGCGGGTTCGGCTGACCAGGGCAATGAGATGGTCCTTCCAGCAAAGTGCAGCCTGCAGACCCCGTTCCAGGCAAGGACCTCTTCGAGGACCTCTTCCTCAACGACCCACGGCCTGGAGCCTGGAGCCTGGAGCCTGGAGCGTGCAGCCTGGAGCGTCGAGCCAGGAGCGTGGTACTACGTCCTCCGAGGACGTCCTTCCGACGATTCGAACCCGGAAATTTCCCCCCCAGCGAACCGACGACAGGGGCTGTGATCGCGGCGACGCGTTAGTGCGATGCACCTCCTCTCTGCACCGCGCTCGCGGATTCCCCAGCGCAAAACGCCGCGCCACGATAAATCATGACGAGAAATTGTTTTATTTTGGCCGTTTGCGCGCGATAGGGCGGCTCGGCGTGGACGAGAGGCCAGCGCACACAGACACAGACACACACACACGCACGCACGCACGGCGTTATCGGGCCGCACCGCCTTGTCGGAGGCGCTCTAGATTTTCCACATTGTTCCCACAAATTAGAGCCGCTCGATACGAATCTGATCTGGAATCCCAAAGGACTCGCGGCAGGAGCGCTTTTGTTCGTCCGCCAATCTTTGCCTCTCTCTCTCTCTCTCTCTCTCTCTCTCTCTCTCTCTCTCTCTCTCCTCGTGTCAGTGTCGTCTTCCTCCAATTGCTGTATTATTTCCGCAAACCGGTTCGGCCGCCGTAAACAGCATGTGATTATAGAGTTGCCGCTCGCAGCGCTAGCGCGCTAGCGGCGGCCTAGGAGCAGCCGCGCCGCCGAACAGTCGGAACAGTTAGGGCTGTCGGAGACGTGATCGGACACAAAGTCCTTTCGGGAACAACAAAAAATAAAGAAATAAAGGAGGAGAGAATAGGGGCATTCACATGTGGCGAGCGGAGAAGGATACTACTACAAATCGGGGCACCTAACCTAGAAGACCGCGGGTGGGGTGGGGAGGGGGGCGCGTCACGGCAGAACGGCGACGCAGACGCCGGCGCAGGCGCGCCCAAATCAAGCATTCTAGGGTTGCCGCGACAAAAGTCTCGAGGAGAATCAAACATTCTAGGGTTGCCTCGGCGAAAATCTAACACCACTGGAGGAGAATCGAGTATAGAATAGGGTTGCCGACGCAAACGCAAGCGCTGCGGCGGTGGGAAAGCGCTGCAGTGTTCGAACGACGACGTCGAGCGCGCGCGCGCGCGCGCGGTGTGTGTGTGTGTGTGTGTGTGTGTGTCGGAATGAAAAGAAGACGGCGTGCATGAAGCAGGCGACGCGAAGGGAGGCGGCATCGCGAATCGCACCTAGCCGGTAGTCAAGCGAGCGCAATTAGGTTCCGCGCACCTCTCGCGGCTACTGCCCCTCCCCCTCCCCCCTTCCACATTCACCTCCCCGCCATCATCTTCACCCCCTCCATCCCGGTAAACGACCTGACCCATGCCAAGTCACACCGGGTCAATCCTACGCATGTGTGTGTGTGTTCAACGCCGTGTCGACATCGTCAAAGTCATCTACCGGACCGAAGTAAATAGCAGAATAAAACCAACAAGGAAGAACACCATCAACAACAACAACAACATCGACCCACAAATTGATTACGGGACATTGCTGAAGCGGTCCGCGAATCTGTTGCACACACACACGCACACACACACACACGCACACACACACACACACACGCGCGCGCGCGCGCGCGCACACGGAGTGGGGCGCGTGGCTCTTTTAATTAACTAAATAAGGGCGCCTCGCGGCCGCACAGTCTCTTTGCCGTTAAAGGGAGAGGCCGCTTCGGATTTCGGGGTCGCGCGTAAACAAGGAGTGTCACGACGATACGGCGGTCCGGGGTTCGAATACCGCTCCGCGGGCGGCTCGATTTTTTTTTATCCCCCTCTCGCTTGATTATCCGATCCAACTGAACAGACCAGGCCCGAAACGATTTTAAGTGGTGGCATTTTAGACGACG